ATGTTAATGTTAAGTTAACATCAGATGGCCATACAATCGTTGTTAGGGCACATTGGTTAATAATTTATAAAAATTACCAGCATTAACATCCATTTGTGGAAAAGATGTTGACCATAGTTGCCTCGTCTGTGTCTTGAACTAATTGTCTTTTGTCAGCACAGTCCCAAGTTTCCCCCAGTTGAACTTGCAAAGTGTCTACGGGGCTTGACGGCAGATCACACGATGCTCTTTGATGCATTGTGCTTGGACTCATCTTCTCTGCACGTATCGCTTTTCCTCTTACCCCCAGGGGGTGACGCCAGGGGCGGGGGGTTGGGCTGTAATGACAGAAACCGGCAGCTCAAACTGCAATTAATCAATCGTGATGCTAAAGGTCCCCCGCACAGTGCCCGTAACAGCACTGCAAAAAAAAGGAAACTATTCAGCCCTAATCAATCTTGATTGGAGGTTTGTTCATCTCACTGTGCCAGTGATAATCACAAGGCAGAATATTTCAGGGCTCTGCCACTAGAGGGCAGAAGACACATAAGGCTAATCACCTCTGGTGGCGTTTTTTTGTTTTGCGCTCTATCATCACATTTTCTTTGGAATGTTAACTAACGTGTGTTGGCTTTATTAAAGTAGCTATCGTATCTGGAGGGCATTATAGTTGGAATCTTGATGCCACATTTCAGGAGTATGCAAGAGGTTGGAATCTGTGTCGCAGCGTTGTGGAATGTTTGGCAGAATCAGTTTGATTTGATTCATTTCAACAGGGCATCTCTGGTGAAATCGTTCCCTCTCCTGGTTCCTCTTCTGAGACATACGCCAGCTCAGGAACATTTTGCAAAAGAGGATGTTTCTGTCAGTCAGTCAAGAACGGAACACTTGCTTTTTTTCCCATTTGTTGTTGTTGTTTTTATCAAATAATTGCAAATTTGTTGCACGTGTATGGTCTGCTGTGATTCTCTCATCCCCAGTATCCAACACATTGATACCAAGAGCGGAAAGAACACAGTTGGCCGCATTTTCCGCCTCTTGTGTGGGGTCCAACACATTTCAAATGTGATGGGAAGTGTTGCAAATTGGCGTGTGAGTGTGTAGGGCACCTTGGCTGCTGCTGCTGTTGCTGCAACTGCTGCAAGAGTCTTGGCCCGGAAGGAAGGGAGGAAGGAAGGAACAGGTGTGGCTGCTTTCGATTTGCCTTTCGAAATTGTACTGTTGAGCTCATCGTTTTTGGAAGAGAATGTTCCCATGTCGTCTTTGGTGGAACAGCTACCGGTGTTTGTGTTCCTGAACATCTGCAGATGAAACGGGACATTGTCGGGATGATGGACAGATCCCAGCTAGTCGGCTTGAAGCCGACTTATTTGCCCAGCTGTGAGCGGTGTTTGCCTCCTGCATGACACGCGTTAAGCGCTAATGAATGCACTGATTAGAGCGTCGTACGGAGTTAGGCTTACGTGATGTCATCTGTTTGCGCTCGTCTCGTTTCGCTTGCGTGGCGTCTGAATGTTAAATTCAGGGAGGTCAGTGGGTCTCCTCAGAGGGCCTTCATCCATCCGTGCATTTTCTGAAACGCTTATCCTCAACTGTGGTACCTACATACATGTATACTATATATCAACTTGCCTTGCACGCATACATAAGTGGGTACTCGAGACAGAAAAAGAATGCCTCGAGCATTTTTGAGGAACTGAGGTGACTGATGTCCTGGAGGACTCGTTTCAGCCCTAAAAGTAACAATATTCTCTGGCATCTATTCTTGATCCTCTGTAAGGAATGAGTAGCATTAGTGCAGGTGGCCACGGCACACACACACCAGAAGGAGTAGCACAGCATCCGCTGAATTGGAGCAAAAATTGTGAGAGTTGTTTTTGCCGTGTTTGTATAAATGACACTGTCAGAGGGTTACAAGTTTGAGAGCCGCTGGTTGAATTGTGTTTGGAGAGTCTTGTTAAAAGGTCTGCGGTGTCTGTTTGTGTGTGTGCGTGCGTGCGTGTGTGTGTGTGTGTGTGTGTGTGGGAGGCAATAGGTTGCCAGGAGGCTGCGCTCGCAGCGATTGGATGGCGGCGGAGGAGCTGATGAGTAAGCCACTCGTCCGGGTCCGCCCCCACATCCTTTTTTTTTTTTTTAATGCAGCCGCACATGCTCTTCACACCGCTGCGCCGAAAACACAACAAAAGTCTACCGCCCGCTTCTAGGACGCGTCCATTGACGGGATGCGCGACCGCCTCCTCTCGCCTGCCTGCAATCATCAGCCGCGCACTGATTGACTCGCACGGATAGCAGCGATGCCAGCCAGAATGTACCACTGAGACAGCCACCGCCTGCCCTGGATAGCTATTCGCCCGTTTTTTTAAATTTTTTTTTTAGGTGTACCATTTTTCTCGGATGCTGGACTCAGCAGCGGAGCATTAGGTATGACACTGATACTTGACAATGTACACATGCGTCAATGTGACTGAAAACCTTCCTTACTACTATAACTTATTGATGGTGTCATGCAGGTGTGTAGGCAAGCTTTTGTGCTTAAGGGCCACGTTTGATTTTTAAAAACCTACAGATGGTCCGCATCATTTGTAAAAAAAAAAAAAATAGGTCAGATGTCTTGACGAGTTGTTTCTTGAAATAATCCCGTGAAAGCAATTTATTCATTTCCATCGCTAATGTTGAACGGTTGCGGTGGGAATGCCGAGAGGCTTTCAGCGTGAATTTGGCTGCCAATGGAACTGCTTCCCATGAGTTTATTGATCATGTGTCAAGGCAGCAAGATCGATTGAGAAGTGTTTCTCAGGCAATCTGCTCACGTTCGGCCAAATGCCTCCGACGTCATTGGACAGAGCTTCACGCTGCAGACGGACAACGACCCAAAAGCACTTTGCAAAGAGTTTTTGAAAGGAAAGAAGTGGAATGTTATGCAATGGCCAAGTCAATCACCTGACCCCAATCCCAACGAGCATGCATTTCGCTTGATGACAAAACTGACAGTAAAATGCCCTGACAGGACTGAACCGGGAGCTGAATCTGGCACATCACCAGGGATCAACGTCTGGGGTCCATTCTGGGGGTGTTGAGGGCCCAAAAACCGAGTCTCTGTCCCAATACTTACGGACTTGACTGTACAAGTGGCCTGTGATTGACTGGTGACCAGTCCAGGGTGTAACTAGCCTTGCACCCACTTTCACTTTCTAGATTCCATTCGATCTTGGACTCCAGGCCAACTCGCTCAAGTTGCAATTCAGTGCAGGACCGCCGAAGACGATCGACCAGATTAATAAAAACTCGCCGACCACACGTTAAAGTGGTTGCACGCAGAATGCTGCGGTTGGTCGAGGTTGGGGGAAAAAAAAAATCGTGGAATGACGGCAGCTTGGGAAAAGAGTCTTCAACTGAAATATTTTTCTAAGTCGATCTGCTCAGGCTTTTTTTAGTAGCCTGTCATTGGGCTGTCAGGAAAGCAGGCGGAAGCGCTACCGCAGGATTTCGGTCATATTCTTAGCACGGGCATACTTTTTTTTTTTCTCCTTCTGCCGAGCAAGCGGTTGTGACATGGCGACCGTGCAAAACAACGGTTGGACTGGCAAAAGTTGGGAACAATGTGTCGCCGGGTCCTCTGCGCTACAGAGGAAGCACTGAGTTCATTTCCTTGCCGCATCAATAGTGCAGCGCAGGAAAGCGCAATGTCCTGCGCAATCCTACGCTTTGACTCAGCGCTGACACGTGTGCGCAACCTCAAAGAGGATGTTGCATAGCCAATGAGACCGAGCGCTTCCTGTTCGAGGTGCGCCAACGCTTCCTTGTGTCAAATTTGCTTTGTGGCTTTGTAAAAATCGGCTTGGACCGAGACTGAAAAAAGGATTCGAAAATCAGGAGCAAGTAAGTGTGTGTCTTACGAGGGGACTGAATTGTTTCTTCCTGTTGAACTGTCGACCACGATTGCATTTTGAAGCCAACACAATCACGGGCCACCAGATTGGCGAGCAGTATTGTCATCCAACATTGTTGGTGCGGGAAGTCGTGTGGAAAGCTCTCCCGAGTGTCCGTCGAAGCGGAGCATCTGCGAAGGAGCGGAGCGCATCGCATCCTTCCTTGGGCCACCAACAGATGCATCCTGCAGCTGCAGGCTCCTTCCTGCCTCGCATCGCTTTTGTCCCAAAGACGATGGCACGCAGAGGTCGGGACGCCGGCGGAATTTCAATGGGCTGGGGCGCTGAACGGGCCCACGCTGGCAGGAGGTTCCGGTTGCCATGGTTTTCTTACACCAGTCGCGGAGAGTTCACATTCAAAAGGGACACTAGCGGATCAGAGTGGGTGACCAGAGAAAATGAATTCAGACATTTGTTTCCGAATAAATGATCCGTGTTGGAAAGCATCGGAACCGTGAGCTCACTAGATATGGCTACACCGCAAAAATTCCTTTTCCTTTTTTTTTTTTTTTTTTGCCTTCCTACTGCCAGAGGAAATCCGAATTGTTATTGGTCCCGTGAGGCCCGGGTTGACTCGCGGTGACCAACTGCCCCTCTGATAAGTTGACTCGATCGGCTCTTCAGGAGGATGTTTATGACTCAGGGCTATTTTCTGCCCAGGCCTCCGCCCTGCGACTGAGCTCGCTAATTCGGGCTATGGCACGCTGGAATCGCTGTGGTCAAGTCCGCGCGTTTGTGCATGCGCACTTCCAACTAAGTTGCGCGTCCATTGTGCGATTTTTAGGAATTGCCCACGACTGAACCGCTGCGCCGTGAACGTGCTGCCGCCACGAGTTCTCACGAGTGGCCGATTGTCTGCAACTATTTTTCCGGAATCAGTTTTCATCATTGATGCAACGAAAGGCATTGTCCAGATCTGTTCCACAGTGTGACGGTTTCCTCTTGAAAGGCCAAAATGCTGACGTTCTTCTGAGATCTCTTTCTGCTTCTGCTGGTTGGATCGATTGTGTTGACCAGATGGCCACCAGATGTACCTCTGTACCATGCTTTTTTTTTTTTGCGCCCGCCCCCAAGTAGGATGACTTCTGAAAGCTCTGTGCCAAGGGGAGGTCTTCCCCCGTCTCTCCCCCCCGCGCACCGACGCTGGCGGGGGAAGAGGAAGGTTTCTGTTGGGACGGAATGCCAAGTTCTCACACTCCTTTTTGGACCATGGCAGACAACAAGCAGCGCCGAAAAGCCTCTGGAAGTGCAAGTCTCTCGTCAACCCACTCGTAAGATGCCTCTTTGCACTGAGGGGTTTTTTTTTTTTTTTTTTGCGGTAGGCTGATGTTAAATCCGAGGGTCGGAGATGCTTTTGGTATGTGGTGAGGGAAAGGGAATACTTGACTTCCTTTTATGGAACGACAACTTGTAGATGGCGGTGTAGGACTCTTAATATTTTCTTCAAGATGGGACAATTTTATTTTTTTTTGGTTAGGACCACACCTAAAGTACTCGTGGTTTCTTGTAGACTTGGAGGTGGTCCAGTCGGGACCGGCCCATTCAAGACACAACAAAAAGGAGAGCGGCGGTCACTCGAGTTCGCGTCCAGTCTGGAGACGAGAGGATGAACTTGTGTCATCCTCCACAGAAAGAATAGAAATTCATATTCGCAAATGACCAAAAATGGCCTCCCTGTGTCATCCTCGTGTCCTGGTCTTGTCGCCTTCACGTCGTGCTTTGTCTCAGTGACACCGATATTTGTCTTGCGTCAAAAGTCGTGCTACCTTTTTGTAATTTCCCTCGCTGTGTGTCCCGCAGCTGCGGGTGGAGCATGGGTACGACTGCCAGCGCAGCGCCGCTGCCGCCGCCTCCGCTTGAAGGTGACCGAGGTGTCCACGACAACGGGATGGCCGACAGCAGGCCGTCGCTCAGCATGAGCCCGTTTCACACAGTCAACGTCCACAACAACAAGGCCAAGTCCATTATCACCAACAAGGTCGCACCTGTGGTCATCACGTAAGTCCCTCCCCAAATACGCGTTGTGTGGATTGGGTGCCGATCCCCTTTGATCACTGCCGAGGTGTGACTCCCTCTCTTGGTGGTGGAGAGACCCCCCCACTCCTTGTGGAGGTGTGAAACCCCCCGCAACATAAACTAGGGCTGCAGCAATTTCATATTTTTAAAATCGAGGATTCGACTGATTATTCCATCGACAATCAAGTACTTTGTTTGTCAGCTTGGAGTTGTCGTCCTCAGCTTCTTCTGTAGTATGTGTACATGGTTTTTAAAAGGCGCGGCCTGGTCTGGTGAGTGACATAGGTGTCAGCGAATGAGTATGTAACCGTTTCCTCCTGGTTGCCCGCCGCCGCGTTTGCGCAAACTCATTTCAGTACGCTCTGGCTCGCGCGACTGCCGTAATGTCACTCCGTGTGGAAAAGTGAGCACCGCAAAGCTCCGAGGCCGAGATTTCGCTTTGACTTTTATTTTTTTCCCCCTACTCAAATTGTTCAAGTTATTCCATTTAATGGTTGCAGCCCTTGTAGTAATCCCTGCTCTTGGTGACGCAGCCCCCCTCTTGGCCTCCAGCCTCAGTGTTTGCCCCTGTTATCATCTCATTTGTCAGCGTAGGCTTTGTAAACACCGGCTGATAATTGAATTGACTCCTCTCACCATGCTGCCGCTATGTGTGTCTTTGTTTTTTGCATGTTTTCATGTTTGTGTGCATGTGCGCGGGCGCGCACTCGCAGGTACAATTGCAAGCAGGAGTTTCAGATTCACGATGACATCCGCAAGAGCAACTACAAAGTTGGACGGATATCAGACGCCATGCCCGAGCATTACCTGGTGCAGGTGCAGTATGCTGGCTCACACACACACACGCAAAGGGCAACGTGGCGCAGGTACATTGTCATGCAGCGTTTTAAGAGGCGGTGAGCCGTCTCTGGTGTCAGGAAGCCTGTGGCTCTTTTATCAGGGCTTTGATCGGCCACCTCACTCGCTTAGCAGCCTTGAGCCTCGGCTGCCAAGGATAAGTCAGTTCACGTCACACGTGAGCTTCACAACATCCAGGCGACTTTGCTGTATTCTAAAATGAAATTGACACCTCTGTGATTAAAAAAAAACTATTCAAAAAATTTGAATCTTTATGGTGCCATGGTGTGCACTTTGGCTGCATTCAATTGAACGTCCAGCGTGCAAGCAGTGACATGAATTAGCTTTTTTTTTTTTTTTTTTTTGCGCAAGTTCATGCGAAACAAACCTCAAAATGAAGCAAAAGCTGCCAATTAGCCCAGCCTGTAATTACTTCAGCATCGGTGCCAATGTTAATGATGATGATGATGATGGTGGTGATGGTACTTTTGAACTGGAGGACCTCTGTGATGTTCTCTTAAATCACTGACAACGTATTCCCTTGCCAATAAACAAGACACGCCACCCACAGCTTTTGAATGAGCGACGGTCTGTACAAGTGTCCACTAGATGGCAGCAGTTACCACGCAACCGTGTTTGCTAACCACACACCATCCATTCATTATCGGAACCGCTTATTTTCTCACGAGGGGTCGCGGGCATGCTGGAGCCTATCCCAGCAGTCTTTGGGGAGTCGGCGGACCAAACTCAAATGTCAGAAAAGGTATATACGCATTTGGAAATAAATTAAGAGACAAGAGAAGAAACAGTTGACCTTTTTATGGTATTTTGGACCATTTGTCACTCCGCCCATCCATCTTCTTCAGTTGAAAATAATTCACACTCAAATGGACAGTTTCGGTGAGTGGCCAGACATGTAATTGTTCTGCGCTTTCCTTCTAGGGCGAGTACTTCATGGTGCAGGACGTGTACAGCAAAGCGGACGTCCTCAGCACGACCGGCTCCTTCGGGGCACCCAATTTCCGTCAGGTGAAGGGATCGTACCCACTGTATGGGATGGGTCAGCCCAGCCCTAGCGGCTTTAAACGCGTCCTGCAGAGGCTCCAAGCGCAAGGACACGAGGTCACCTGCCACCGTCGGCGTTTTCAGAGGATTAGCTCGCACTCCTCAGGTGCTGGCTTTCAAAATATACTCATCTGATGTCTCTGGTTGGGTTTTTTTTTTTCTTGCCAGGAGGTTGTTTTTGTCTGCGTGCGAGAGGAGCCGGTGGTCTTCCTGCACAAGGGTGACGACTTTGTCTCGTACACCCCCAGGAGGAAGGAGAACCTCCACGAGAACCTCCACGGCCTGGAAAAGGGGCAGCCGGTGGAAGCGCTGGAGCTTACTGTCAGGAAGGAGGTGACTTTGACTTCAAACTGGGGCGGGGCCACTTTATATAGAATGGTGCAGACATACCTCTGGGCAGTTTTTTCGTATAGTGGTCGAGTGTTTGTTTTTTTTTTTTTTTTTTTGCTGTTTTTGTTGACTCTTAGCTCCATGACTTTGCCAAGCTGAACGAAAACACCTACTACGTGTACAACGACATTGAGTACCTGAAAGACGAGCCTCAGAAGGTGGTCATCACGTGCGAGGAGGACATCCACGTGACCGAGGAGGTTTACAAGCGGCCCGTGTTCACCATGCCGGCGTACAGGTGCTCTCCGCTCTTCTCCTTTTGGCCGTGGCTCGGAAATTGCCGACCGCGTTTGTTGTGTTCTTCGTTCCAGGTATTATAGATTGCCGCTGCCTGTCGAGGGAGCGCCTTCAGAAGACGACTTTGATGCTTTTGTCAACATACTCAGGGTGAGTCCACCTATCCTTGATTAGCGGGGTTTCTGTACAGTCGGGTTCATAAATATTGGGAAACGGAGACAGGCTCAATATGAAAGCCACATATACAAACTTCTTCATGTCTTTGCCTTGACTGCACAGTGATCGGGACCAAGACGGGCCGCAAATTTGACAAGTACTTGTACTTGCTGCACTCCCATGGTTGACTTAATTTCTCCCCTCACAGGAGAGTCCCGGCTTGTCCCTGCGACACGAGGCAACGCCGAAGCTTCCCGCGGTGCTCTTCAGCTGCCAGGTGGGCGTCGGCCGCACCAACCTGGCCATGATCCTGGGCGCCCTGGCCATCAACCGCGTTTGGGGCAACTCTCGCCCACTGGCTCCGTAAGGCCTTCTTTTCATCATCCGGTCACTGGATACCCATCAGAGTTTACTTTTTTTTTTTTTTAATGGGGTTTTAAAGTGCTTATTTTTGCATTATTGTACTTCTGTGTTTACAATTTTTAAATCACGCTGAATGGGTCAAAGTGTAAATTCATGTTTTTTTCATAAGCTCTGTGTCGTGGCTTCTCACCTATTGTGGCCGTGCCGAAAAAGTATCCCCCACAATAAATGTAAAAACCCAGCACACTTGAGCACACTTCATGAATATTTCAGGGTTGAGGAACCGGCAGAGGCGCGTGCGGAGCCCAGACCCGTTTTCCGCATCATCCAGTCTCTGATCGTCAAGCTGCCAAATGGACAGCAAGTATTGGAGGAGGTGAGTTTCCCTCACCGGATTCATTGTGGGAGAGTACAGCGGCGCACCTGTGACGCTGTTTGTTTGTCGTCAGGTGGACCAGGCCATCGCGCTGTGTTCGGAAATGCACAACATCAAAGAGGCAATCTACGAGAACAAAAGTAAATTGGAAGGCATCGGAGATGATTATCAGATTCAGGTTGGTGTTTTCTGAACAAGCTAATGCTCTATTTTTTTCCCTCCTTTTGCTTAATACATCCTGCCTTTTCCATGAAAAGTTACACAAATGTTATTTCCGAGTTATGGATGAATATAAACATCCCCGACAGTTAGTGACTTAATAAGCGCATGGAGGCCTGACCTGACGAATCTCCTTCTTGTGTTGCCCATTAGGGAAGCAGCACCAAAGAGTACTTCCTCAACAGAACCCGGCAGAGCTTGGAGCGCTACTTCTACCTGATTGTGTTTAACGCGTACCTCCACGAGCAGGTGGGTGTCGGGAGTTAGCCGAACGCTATCGGCCAGCAGCTAAATTCCTGGCACGCCTTTGCAGTATCCCCTCGCCTTCGTGTGCAACTTCAGCCAGTGGATGTGCCGCCATACTTGGCTCTATCGCTTGCTGGCACGTATGGACCTTTCCGAGTTGTCGGCGTCGGCTGAGCTGGTCACCAGAGGAGCCCGTGTTCTGGTGAGCAGCCGTTACCTCCGCCAGGGAGCTGTGGCTTCAAATTGTTTATTGCCACTTCCACTTATAGTCTGGTAGCTCATTGCTAACAGATAATGGGAAACACCATAGACAGGCTATTGCAATTGTAGCATCCGTATGGCATTAGTTAGAAACCTTTAAACTGTTAGATTTGTAAAACAACAGCAGCAACATATTGCAGACAGACGTTTCAAATGTTGTCCAGGTGGCTGGCGAGTATTTAGCGCCCGACGTCCTGAGCACGGCCAAGGAGATGAAGGCGCTCAACTTCAGACGCGTACCCAAGATGCCCATCTACGGAATGTCGCAGCCCACGTCCGAGGTGTCGCGCCACCCATGCCCGGAGTGTTTCATTGTCGCTTGTTGATTGTTCTCTTTTTATTTTCCTGTTGCTTCCCTGTTCAAAAATATGTTCTTTGTGCCCGCGCGTGTAGGCGGCCGGAGCCGTGCTGGCCCACCTGACGGACGAGAAGCGCAAGCACAGCCGCATTCTGTGGGTCAACCTGCAGGAAGAGCTTGTTTTAGAAGCCAACGGGCAGATCTTCACACCCAGGGAGCCGTCGCGCTTGGATCAGCACATTGCCATCCCAACGTCAGACCCGCTCATCATTGAGGTTGAGAGGAAACTTTTTTTTTTTGTGAGGGGTGGTCAAATCTGAGCCGTTTTGACTGCAAATATAAACTATATAACATACCCCTCCCACCTGCTTTAAGCACATTCAAACTTAGTGAAATATTTTTTTATAAATCACTTTTATCATATTTTAACACAAATGTGGAAGCATAATGTACAGTGTAGAAAATGTTAGGGGGAAAAAAATAATACTTCGGGATATGACGACTCACTTGCACTTGGACTTTGTTTTGATTTAAGAAGCTGGAGACGTCCCTCAAAGAGGAGATTCTGCGTGCCCAGAAGTGGCTGGAGGTGACTCTTGAGCAGGAGAAGCAGATGAAGATGTTCAAGAGCGTTCTGACGGCGCAGGAGATCTTGGCGCAGCACAAGAAGGCCACGCCGGCCCTTGCCTATAAGCGCATCCCTTTGCCCGACTGCGCCGCCCCCTGGGAGGAGGTAACCGCCAACCAGTCACCACGCAGATTTTATTCACCAAAAATGTTACTCAACGCACGGACTGGTTAATTCCCCGCTAATCTGAGCTCAGAGCCATCTCCACGCTCTCATTTCCAGAACTTGTGTCACTCACCGTTAATGAATGGATCAAATGGATGGACTGTCTTGCCTCATATTTGTTGTCGTTTTCTGCGCGGGCAGGATTTTGATACGCTGCTGGACGCCATGAAGGGCTCGCTGGCCGAGGACTCGCGCTCGGCCTTCGTCTTCAACTGCTCCAACGGCAAAGGCAGGACCACCACAGCCATGGTGCTCTCCGTGCTCACTTTGTGGCACTTCAATGTACGGTGCGCCGCTGTCGCGTTTCCGCATGGCACGGCTATGAAAGTGGACCAAAGTAGGAGTTGTTTATCCCCCGCAGGGCTTTCCGGAGTTTCCCGAGGACGAGATCGTCAGCGTCCCTGATGCCAAGTACACCAAAGGGGAGTTTCAGGTAACATTTTCTTGTACACACTTTTTTTTTGCTCATAATAAATGACTGGACTTTTTAGATTCAGATTTTATGGGGTTGCCATGTAAACCTTGTATGCCTTCAGTCAAACCATTTGCGAAGGGAGGTATAAAGAATAATCAAGTGCTCCTTGAGCATATGTTACAAAACATGTGATCTAATCCAAATCTCAAAAATCTAGTACGCTGGCATGTGGGAAAGGAGCACCATTGCACACTCACACGAGGAAAAATTTCTTTTGGTGTGTCTATCTTCAATTTGGACCCATTTACGGCTTTGTGTGGAACGCATCGTCTGCCATAAATCCCGGGGCTTCTTCCAACTCTTATTAGATTTCAAAAATGCAATGAATAGGGCCGGAGCTCCTCAGGAGAATAGCAACATCTGAGAGAGTAATTGATACCCCCCCACAAAATACAGTAAGTCTATATTTAGCTACCACAAGATGGCGCCAAAGTATGACGAATACACAAAGCGGCCTGTTAATATGCCGCCTTGTGTCGAATCGCCAAATTCTGGTTTAACAGGTTTTCCTTTTCTTTTCAGGTGGTGATGCAGCTGGTGCGCCTGCTCCCCGACGGCCACCGCATTAAGCGCGAGGTGGACATGGCCCTGGACTCGGTCTCCGAAACCATGACGCCCATGCACTACCACCTGAGGGAGATCATCATCTGTACCTACAGACAGGTCAACCTCTTTCTCAGATCTGGGGGGTGGGGGGGGGGGAGTCCTCTCACTACTGCAGTGTACACTTCAAAAGGACCCTGAAATGATGGTCATAAACATCCGTCACAAGGTACAAAATGAACCCGTACATATTTATCAAAAATTGTAGCGCACTGAGTGATTGCACTCACCGCCAGTGTCCCATAGAGGGGGAAAGGCAGCCTCCTTTTCCCACCTCAGCTGGTGTCCAGCGCACATGAACGAGAGGAATGCAGGCACGAGCGGCCGAGCGTGGAAAAATTGATTATGATGTAACTTAATGGAAGCTGGTTGGATGAGAAGGGGCCAAGAGAAGCAGTGAAGGAAATGAAATGTTCCTTAATATCCGTCGCAGGCTTTCAGATAGCTCATCTATCAATTTCCAGTCTTGCGAGATGGAAAGTCCTCGCTGGATGCAGAAAGTTGGCGGGAAAAGAGGGAAGTCTTTCCGAACATTATGTACAATATGTTAAGATGTGTTGTTTTGATTGGTTTTGTCTGTGTAAACTAACAAAGCCGAAGGAGAACAAAAGTAGCTTGTGAAAGAAAAAGGCTCGGCTTTATGCCTTTTTGAACAAACGCTGCAATCATTGCACCTCTGCACTCCGTCAGCTGGAGCCGGAGGCACCCGGGCCCACTCGGCGGGCCTATCAATGGGACTTATTGTCTTCCGCCTACAGTCGGGGTCCGGGTCTGTCTCTCGGTGACGCCGTGTAAAAAAGCCAACGCGAAGAACAACCGCTTGCAATTTTTCGATTTTATCGGGAAGCCAGATTAGGGTGTGCCAACTCTGTCCAGATGTTGAAGCGGGTATGTCCCTTAAAAAGTTCATGGAATAATTTAAGTGAACTATTTTCCACACTTTAGATTGGCCAGTCATTTGTAAAAACCACAGACAGACTTATGCGGGCACTGATCAATAGATTGGAGAAAAACATGTAATTGACCAAATATGGATATCGGAGATTTCCGCCCGATGGTAATGACATTTATTGGGTTTTAAATAATATTAAAAAAAAAAAACATGTGACTATCTTAATAGATGGAATATGGTCTATATTGAAAATATACAGGATATCTGCCCCATTTTTCAAGGGTGCGTATGGGGGCGAGGTGGTGCACTAACCCCGCGGGGATGCTGAAAGAGTTGGCAAGGGTGTGCGTTTGGGAATGACTACATTTGAATGGCGCCTTTTGGGTTTGGTTGCATTTAGCGCCGCGAGAGTGTTTAGCTTGGAGTTTGTAACTGACACAAATGAGCTACCGGAGTTAAAATCCAACTTGAGATGAGGCTTGACTTATCCGGAGGCCACGTGTTGGCACTGCCGCCATTGCAGCAATCCCCCCCACCCCCAGCCCCCGCCCCTTTTCCTTTTCCTCTTTGCTTGAAAGCAGCAGTCCAGGTGCTAAACAGTGCCAGATGTTGCTGCAAGAGGGGAAAATTTCACCACCACTCCGTCCCTCTTATAGCGGAACACCTCCTCCCCCGTACTGCCTTAAAGAACCCCCTCCTCCACTTTACCAGTGGTTGGAAAATGTGTCTTCCATCGAGAAAAATGTATGTTCACTCAGAGACCCGGAGGATCCAGCAGCTCCCAGAGGGGCCCCACTAAATGAAGGGGGAAGGGGGGGAGGGAGGCTATGAATCCCCTTGCGGCCAACCAGGCGTGACCCCCACATGGCGCATACGTCTACCAACACTTGGGCCAAAAGAACAGGCGGGCAAACTCACCTCCTCCGGGGAAATGTGCTGGCTGATGCCTGCCTTGCACATTGGGCTCCCTGCGCTTGCGTTGACAGGCGCCCCATCCGTTTGACGCCCGGTCTGGCGTTTCTTGGCATGATTAGCACCGGATGATAATGAACATCGCCGTTGAACTGAAGGCTTCCTTTGAATTCGGCCTGCCTCGGTGACAACGTCTCTGTGTGTGTTCCATCATGTGAGTGCGTTCAATTAAAACATTTCAAAGGAATCGACAAAGCGAAACGTTCCCCACGCAGGCAATTATCTTCCGACACAAAAACTGCTAATTCGACATATTTCGTAAAAACCTTGCTGCATTGTGCTCTAGTTAAAGTGGCCATTCCAACTCCACTTAGCATTGTGACAGATTGACGTTTTTGGGGAAATCTTGTCACGTTGCTCCATGGAGCCAAATGAATTGATTCTAGACAATTGGGTGACACTGACTTGCCAAACTCATTTTGCCTCTGGAATGGCTTTTGGGCGTCGAAGTTTGGCGGAGTCATCGTAAAACAAAACAAAAAGAAAACACATGGTTTGTACTCTTTGTTTTTCACAAAGCCCGTCGGTCACACTGCCTTATAATCAAGCAGCAACTCAGGAGGACCTTGTTTATCAGTTCTGTAGCCAATCAATAGAACATTATGGAAAATTGCACATTTTCCCCTCACATCGCAGCTCGACAGAGGACTGAGTGCTGCCTGATGCCTTTCCCCCTCTCGTTCGCTCGTGAAAGGCACAAATTAAGAATGAATGAGGGCAAATCACAGTGTGTTGAAAAAGACGGGCCCTTGCAGTTTGGACAGGGGGAATGGAAAAATATTCGGGGAAAGGGGAGAAGGCCTTGCGAGCAGGTTCTCCGAGGGGAAGCCGGGAGACGTCTTTGGGAAAGATGGAGGATACAACGAGAGCCAAAAGCTTCGGAGGAACATTACGCATTCCTATGATCCACTTTTTGTTCATGTTGGCTGTACAGTGTTAACATTGTATTTTTTTTCTCCCTTCTTCTTGCTTCGAATACATTTACATTTCTTTGAATTCCTCCTCAAGGCTTCCTCCTCAAATGTTTTTGCTGGTTCTCTCTGTTGTTGAGTTGCAAGCCGCAGCTGTTGACAGGTTCGTAAAACACGTCGGCCGTAATTGGTGGTTGCCTGATCCTTAAGCGACTGTGATGTCATTTTCAGGTGACAGAAAGTGACAAAATGCCCCCCCGAGGAGGACAAAAAATGGTGGATTTTGCTGCTCAACTCATTTTCCTCAAACGCAATATTCATCGGAATGTCGTGTTTAGACTCATGGAGGCGCACATAACGTATTCTTCTCAAGACTTCTCCTTTTAAGTACAGCAACTAAATATTTGCACTTGGTTGCTTGAGTTTCCAGCACCGGTCGCAGATGCAGCCGGCTCTGATTTTTCAGATGCTACTGGTGATGTAGCCGTATTTGCGTGTGCATTTTTACGAGAATGTTTGGCAGCACGTGCGGGGGGTAAATAATCATCTCACGGGACTTTGGCGAGTCAGTTGAAGGGGGCAAGCTTGGGCGGGAGGGGGGTGTCAAACAGCTGTCATCAGTCAGCTGCTGTTCCCGGAGCGTATTTATTTTCGGGGAGTTTCTACATCCACGAATGAAGTGATGCGCTTAAGCTGCAGTGAGTGTTTGCCGTGTTGACAGCATGACGTGACGCTTCAGGGCACCGTGGCCTTTGTTCGCGTGACGGATTGCTGCGCAAATACATGTGAGATTAAAAAGTAAAGGACCTTGTTAGTTTGAAATCGAGGATTCATTCATAGGATGCATAGTATAATGCCAGAATGGAGCAAGACGAATCAATTCATCTCACTTAAATGATAAATGGCGATGGTGCAGACCTTTTGACACACCAACTGCCGGCTGTTAATTGAGAGCGTTTTCTCCGATGGCAAGATGAGTTAACAAAGCCCTTCAGTGTCATCGGTGATTGAGAACGCAGGGTAAATTGCTTCTATTATCATTTATAGCCTTCGTCTCTACCGCCGTAGTTTAAAATACATGTGACGTGTCCGTGAAAAAGATGTTACAGTGGCGCCTTTGTAAACCAAACTGTGTGAAAACCAAAGCAATAATTCCCATAGGAAATAATCTAAATCAATTAAACCGTTCCAGACACCCCAAAAAAATTAACCAACGAAATATGTTTCATGGGTAATAATTCTAGTTTAGGGGTTAGGCCTCTGCTCTAATTTTTTGTTGCCGTCCGGATACTGAATGCATCTACATCTATCGTTGGCGTGTCGGGAGCAGCCGTTCGCACGAGGTCGTCAGTAGCGGCAAATCAATTCCACTTTCCCCATTTTGGAAAATACCATTGAATAAATACACACAATTTCAAGTTTTCTTCTCTTTGCTTCACTTTGCACGCGTCTCAAAACGAGCGTGTTGGAAATCACGCCACTCACCGCCCGTTCCTGTAGTCATTGGCTGATGTGCTGATTGTATTTGAACTATAGTCCAGGAACCAATCAAAGAAATGGCTCAGCAGAGCAAACATGCCTCACAAGTGTAACGCTCCAAAGCCGTTGATTGCAGTCGCTTTGCCCCCCGTTTCCTGTTGCGCTTTTAGAGTTGTTTGGCTTAAATGTTGCATCGTTAATAACTGCAAATTCACAATCTGCCTCCTGATGGAATGGACGCTAAATGTGCCTTTCAAAGCACATCATTGTTATGCTCTCTGAGCGGCATGTGCAGTGAAAAGCGAAAACCAGAACTAATTGATGCCATCCTGTGGCGTCTTAGGATGCTACAAGCTCGAGATTATCAGACACCGTGTGCAGTCGTGGAAAAAGGTGAAAAAGTGTTCCGCTTGCCAATGGAGCTCATCTAAGATTCAACGCTTGAGCTCCTACTTCTTCTTTCCGAGTCTTGGTCCCCCCTGGACTAACAATGAAGGATAGGATAGAATTTTCCTGCGGCCACAAATGTCGCTTCCAAAATGAGTCTCGGGCTACTTGCAGTGACAAAGATAAAGTTCAGTCAGTGAAGTGAAGAAATGTAGTAATGAAGGAAAATATCTTCAAGGTTGTTGGTCGATGGGGCTTTTACTTTTTCTGCCTTCAGGCCACTGAAAGCACTTAAGCTCGCGCTCTCGTTCACCAACCGGCGATGCGGCGTCAGGCGCAAGTATCGTAGCCATGACCTTTGGGTTTGTCTTTGATTATGTTAGTGCTTGTATGCTTTGGAACAGTTCATTGCAGCGCTATATTTTTTTTCGGGGGCGAGGAGCTCATCTCAATAGACCGATTCCACTGCGTAATAATGCAGAATTTTTATCTCCAGCCTGCAGCTGTGAGACACAGACTCGCTGTGGGAGTGGAATGCTGATGGCGCCGTGCCTTAATGCCAACCAAGAATGGCAATGCAGCAGTCAGAACCATTTGAAGGTGCCCGGGAAATACGCAATTACGCTTCACCCGGCGAGCCGCTTTCAGTCAGTGACGGGTTTCGATGCTTCAGGAATTCATTTTATTTGACGGCGTGTCAATCAGGTCGGTATTTTCAGCACGAGCCGTCGAAATTTGAGTGAAACCGGAGACAACTATAGTTACTCTCGTTGAGTCGGCGATGAATGCGGCCAGATATTTCAAGCTCGGCTAACGAGCCCCGTCTCCCTCTCCGGCTCTAGCAGGCTTGTTCTCTGGAGACCCTTTTGCACTTTGGTCCAGAGATGGAAATGACACACAACTCGTCTGCATTCCCCCCCCTAACCCCCCCTCGTGCTTGTGCGCTGGCCAGGCCGTTTAAACGTTCAAGGTATGTCTGATATGCATTCTCCCAGAGGTCGTGACGCATGAGACTCGAAAGAGTCTTAACCGCAAGAGTACAGAGTTGCATTAATTTGCTGCCGCTTATGCAGGACGCGGTTTTCCAGCGAGCCCTGCTTCGAGAAATCCACTCTGACTTCGGGGGATTTCATGGTGACAATGTGGCTGAGCAACTGGAAAAAGACAGATGGGTGGAAGCTGTAGAAGCGTTTAACACGGAGGCGTCTCCTCCTCTTCGTTCCCGACTCAGCTGCTCACTCCTCGAGTCTGAGGCCAGACGGTATTTGTTTGATTGCACGCGCGTGTATGCTGTCAGAAACGGCCGCGTGAAGTTTGCTTGGTAGATTCTACAGTGGGACCGAGGTGGAGTACTTATTTATGAATTTATTTATTTTCCGAGGCTTGCATCTGGGTTTTGGTTCGTCCCCCCTGCGAGGGGCCCCGCTGTACTGGAAAGCGCGAGAGCGTACGTACGTGCTCTCAACATTCCCATGCAAGCCAGCAAGTGAGGGGCCATCTAGGAATTGCACTTTGGCTCCACTTGTGAGCCCACCTGAAATATCAGCACGTATGCTTGACATTTGCCGCTCTATGCATTGAGTCACGCACAGGGCGGCGCATGTGTAGGTCGCCTGTGCGCTCCAGACAGGTCGGGCTTTGGTTTGGTTTAGGATTTGAGTGGGAGGCGCCCTACACGAGGTGATGAATGACCGCTTGTGCTAACCTGGAAGGGCCAATATGGATCTATCTGTTTATCCCCCGGCAATCCTGTCGGCGGCTAATTGGCACCAGATGTCAGTCAGATAGACCTCCGGTGACCTTTTCACCACGCGGCACGCACTTCTGGTTGGCAGAGCGACTGAGTGAACCTGGAGAGTGGCTTGAAAGATGATTTGAGCTTTGTTATGGCCTATTTGGCTCTTTTAGAGGCAGCGATACTAGCGGGAGACCTGACCCGGGGGGCAGGGATGCACTTTTGTAGCATTTTACGTGCATAAACATCACCATCGTAGCTCGCGTTTTAAAATGCTACTCCTGGCGCTCCAGATTCCCTTTCTTGGACAATGCCATCGGTGCGCAGCAGATCAAACAAATACAAAAAAAGAAGAAATACAGCTTTTGGGAACGTATCGTCATCGTAAAATGAAGTTTGACGTGACAGACTTGGAAGAGAAACAAACACTATTGCACTTTTTGTTCCAGTGTGTTAAAATGACAGAGAAAGCAAGGAAATGCAGATTTGAAAGGAGCATTGCTAGAGGCGATATTGCATGACTCCTTCTTGTGACTGGCTCCAAGATTGTTCAGAAGCTCCAAAATGGCATTGCTGAATAGCATACATTTTTTTGTTTCTGGCACTTGGAAATGGTGACATGAGGGGAAAAAGATCCCTTTCTCCCCACCCTCTCCCGTTTTGCGCGTGCCTCCAAGTCATATTTATGTATGTATGCAGCGGTGGAGACTACGTCCCAGACAGTTGTAAATAATGGAGGTCATGTTAAGCAGTTGGGATAAATATTGTAGATTGTCGTTGGTATTTTTCACACAGTGAGTGCTTCTTTGGGGTCCAGGGCACACGTGGTAATTGGGTTCTCACAACCAAGGGCTTGTATCGCTTGAGAATGTCTGACAATAGACAGCACATCCTCTTTTATTGTCCGAATGTTGTTTCTCCCCCTGCGAATCATTTGGGCTTCAATAACGGCTGTCTGGGAATGGACAGGAACCCCCCCCGCTGACCCCTACCCACCCCGGTTGCGCCATTCCGCTCTGGAATGATCGTGTTGTGGTGCGCTGCGCACATTTTCAAAAGAACCCTCGTACTCATTGGTGGGAAGTATGAGAACCAAGTTTGCGGCCGTGATGAGAAGTGCTTGAGGCTGCGAGCTCAATCAGAAAAATGTCATTTAAAAAAAAATAAATACAAATCTCCACTCCACCTTCAATTGAAGTGCAACCTAATTACCTTTGCCTTTGTGAAAAGTCCAATTTTTTCCAACTGGCTTACACGGGAGACCTTGAAACTTTCAGTCTCATCATTGATCAAAAGAAGTCTGTTTTGCAAGGAAATGTGCTTTATGTTTGCAAAAACACTTTGTGTTCAATTAGCTCTGCTTTGTCCTCTTAATGGCTTTCGTTCTGCCCTGAATCACGATGATCTTTTTTTTTTTTTTTTTTTTTTTTTAATTAGTGTTCTGAAATGACAAGCCAGAGGTAAAACGGCAATTCTATTATAACCCAAAAACTATTGCTTGGTTTTAATCCCCGTTCCTGTCACCTTCATACACTTTGGCTTTTTGTGACGTTATTCAATCACGCAGGTCTCGGCTTGAATAAACTTGTCAAGAGTCCAAACCACTCGGGAGTGTTTGTTAAGAAGGCTTCGAACTCCCCCTTTTTTTTTTGTGCCATTTTCTTTCCAGATCAAGAGCGGCAAGTCGGAGAAGGAGCGCCATCAACTCCTGCTGAGGAGCCTGCAGTATCTGGAGCGCTACATTTATCTCATCCTCTTCAACGCGTACCTGCACCTGGAGAAGAAGGACTCCTGGCAGCGCTCCTTTGCCCTCTGGATGGAGCAGGTAACTTCCGCACTCAAGTTTCTCACGCACACCTGACAAAATAAGGATGCACTCAAAATGTTCCACGGGCGGCGTTGCACTTTGACTAACCTGAATTTGTACGCAATTCACTCCGTCGGTCGTCATTAATTACGGATATTGACAAAACAAGATTTGTATGAAACACACTTGATGCACCGCAAAAGCGGCCCAACAAAGGCCACAAGGTCTTGGTTGTAATTCCGTCAAAAGCGCTCACGGTTTCTATCCCAACGAGAAGAGAAGGGCCAAAAGAAAAGAATGTTTGCAATTCGCCGAATGAAAATCCCTGCCGTCATTTTTGTCCTTATTGGGGCGGAATAAAAGCGGGGCGGAATTCCAAAATGGACAGGAACAATCGCTGAGAAAACAGCTGTCAGGGAAATATGCTCGGTCAACGGAGGCATATCCTTCCTGTTATGAATACCAAATATGTGCTCTGCGTCTCTAAAGTGTGCCCGCTCACGCTGGGAACCCGCACGGAATAAATACATACCGAACGCACCCCGCTGTCGCCGCGGCGCTCAAAGATTTCACGTGACAAAGGAAAGGATGGCTGGCAAGTGTTTCTTTGCCAAGCAGAGCATCATTTGTGTCACTGCAGGGGGTTCGGCTTGAAAATCAAATGTCTTTATTTCGCACCGATCAACCGTCGGCACCTCATTGAAATGGGGAAAAAGGCCTCACGTGTCTGATGATATCGCGAGCAAACGTGTCTAGCGATGATGTAAAGTAAGTTGCCGCCACGGACCACAAAAACCCCCCCAAAACAAAACAACAACAAAAAATGGATGTCAATCTAGATTTTAGACACCCCCTAGATCAGACCTGAATCAAAAACGTGTCATCCTGAGCCAAAGAGCCAGCAGGAGCCAGACTTCAGCAAGATGCGATTGTCTTCAACTTGACTTGAGTTGCCCGATTCCCTCAAAAACGCCTTCGTCCCGCTTTGAGCTGTCATGAGCGTGGCCAGCGGGTTGAGTGGCCCACTTGCTGCTGAGCCTGGCGCCTTCCCAACCAATCACAGCCAAATGGCCTCTGGGCGAGATCGTTAGCCTGTCACCAGTGACCGTGGCCGGATCATTCATGACAAGCCCCAAGTGTCAGAGGCGGCGACGGGGGGTCCTCGCCACCACGCACACACACACACACACTAAGCCGCTGTTACGCAAGCCTCCGTGTTTGATGGGCACTGTCCGTTACACAGCGTGTGCTGGCCCTGTGTGTGTGGGTGTGCGCGCGCTCTAATTTAATAGCCGCCCTGAAGGCAGGAGCTCATTGTTCACGGTCACACGTGGTGCCGGCTGATATGAAGTCTCCGATTTCCAAAGCCCCACGCATTAACGTGGGCAAAATGAAAAATAAATAGGTTGTATTCTGTGGCCACAATTCACAGTACTGTATCTCACAAGAGTGAACACACCCTCTCACATTTTCGTTGATGTTTTATCTTTTGCTGGGACAACACTGAAGAAATGACACTTGGACAGATTGAATAACAGTGTAAATGTTGTGCGCCATTTTATTTTTTGCGTTTATAGCATTTCAGAATTCACATTTTTGCAGATTTCTTTGAAGTTGTCCTCACCATTAAGATGGGTGTACCCCAAGGCTCCTCCCCAGGGCCTCTAATTTCCTCTATTGTTTGACCTCCAAGCATCCACACAAACTTTACAAAAGTTACCCTCCAATATTTTGGCGGGGCTGCGGGTGTCATGTGCAGTTTTTATTTTGTATTCTTTTCTTTTGTATGTTTTAACTTTGAGTGTGGCCCCCAGTGCTGTGCAAGCATGTTTTAAAAGCTTCCTCCTCTTCTGCCCTTGTTGCTTTTTCATGGCAAGTGGATCCTGTCCTTCTGTAGCAAATTTCGCTCCTAAGCCCTCTATCTCCTTGCTGAACCAAATCAATAATTTGTGTCTATTTGGCTACTGCGGCGGCTTGCATCAGCTGATCTGTTTGCCGCGGTTTATACAGCTGTGTCGCGGAGTCCATGAGTCAGGTTAAGTGCTGCGCTTTAATGGCAGCGATCCAGACATTCAGCTGCGAGTCTCATCCGCTGGCTGACTTAATAGCTTCAGTGTGCTGACTCATTTGTTCCCCGCAAAGGGAAAAAAAAAATGACCCTGAATGGAACATTATTGCATTGTCAAAGGGATTTGCAGTGCAGTGAAAACCTTGTTTATGGCGGGGGAGGAGAGTGAATGGGGGGGATGCGGTCCGAGCCCACACGCAGTTGGTGAAAATCTGCGCTGTAAAGAGCGCATGTAATATACAAGGCATTTAAAGTTAATTTGGAATACATTCTTCATTCCTTACAATCTCAAAGTGCTACAAGCATCCAGACTGTGGAGCATGGAAAAGGCACGTACACTTTTTCCCCAAGTATTGCTCAGCGCCTGCACTTTTTTCTTTCTTTTTTTTTTTTTTTTTTTTTAACACCAATTTTCTTGTAAAATTGACTTAATTCCTGTCAACTTCCGACTTAACTCGCCAGGTGGCCTGCAGGGCGGGAGTGTACGAGATCCTCAATCAGCTGAGCTTCTACGAGTTCAAGAGCCCGAGGGACGACGCCCCGCTGGGTCGGCTGCGCTGGCGCTGGCTGCAGCAGAACCGTCTTCCGGAGCTTCCTTTCCGAGGGCATTTCCTCTGAGGGGAAAGCACGCCGGCATGCTTTTCTCCTTTCAGAAAACAATAAAGAATAAGACACACAGAAGTTAACAATGAGCACGTGGCTTTAAGGGCGTCCCGGAGAAAAGGTGCTTGAGTCATTGCAACTCGGACTGGCGTCGACTCGAGTCATTGTTTTGATGCCTTTTGACTTGACAAAAATTGCAAAGCTCGAAACTCAACCTGCAAGTCGAAGACTTGCGACTGTTATCCATTTTTACATATGTTGGGTTTACAGTTGACGTCAACTAATATGCATCTGTGATTTGGTCGTCGCACTCAACAAACAAGCTCAGAAAAACTTGACCTTAACATTGCGACACACATCAAAGACAATTTCCGATTGTCCGATAACATAATTCATCTGTCCGGGGTCTGTTAATACTGTACCAGCCATTTTCAGACACTTTTTTTTTTTTTTTTTACCTTAAGTCTTGGGAAAAAAACATTTATTTTATATAAATGAGTACCTGGGATTGAATGTGTGAAGTTTGGAAAGACGGATGAATACGTCTTTGGGAGAGAATGAGTTTAAGTGTACATTTGTCCTGATAATCGGGTTCATCTTGTTTCTTTTAAAATGACTTTTTTTCCGTAAAGACTTCATTCTTGTAAAATGACAGAGGTATTTCCTGAGAATTGTGTTTACGTTTAAAGATCAGAAGTTGAGTTCACGGTTGTAAAACTCAGACTTTTTTCTGGTCCTATAATGAGTTGTTGTTCTTATGAAAATTTCCGATTCCTTCCGAGTCCGACTTCTTTTCTGAATCCTCCTCCGTAGCCACTGGTTTTACAAAGGGCTAACAAAAACCAAATCTAAACCGGTAGCTAAAAGTTAGCGACTAACATTGCCTTCTTTTTTTTTTTTTTTTTTTAGGCGCTCAAATAAAGCGTTCAGAATCAGGTCGTCTGCTTTTTATTTCCTTTCGTCATCAGCAGTAAAGCAGGGCCAAGAATTTCCCAAATCTGGATTCTAAGCTGCAGTTTGACTTTTCTACTTTTTTTTTTTACTGTCCTTTTTTTTTTTTCACTAGGAATTTCTGCAACCTGGATGCTGGAGTTCTTGTTTTCTCACTTGGAAGTTTTCCATTGTGTGCTCGAGCCAAGTAATGATCCCTCTTTTCTGCTTCCGAGGTCCCCTCCCCCCCGACCCCCGCACTCCCTTCTCACTTATCTCCTCATCATCTGGTGCTGTAAATGCACCGCCGCTGCCGCCGAGGAGGCCACTGGCATATCCAGCCGGCCTCTTGTCTTGTCTGGCGTCTGCGCCGTGAGGGGAGAGGAGAGGCCGAACAGATGATGCATTGTGGCTCGGGCCTGACATGCTTGCATCTTCCGTTGGCGGTAATGGGGAGCTTAGCTGGATCAAACGGGCTAATCTCACTCGCTGGGCTTTTCCTGCAGACGGCTCTTGGGTTGAAAGTGTCCTCTTTCTAAGTCTGATATCGCAGATCGCTTCCCGTCTTTTCTTATCTTTGGGAGCTCGGAAGTTGTCGCCGTTATTGCAGCCTCTCCGCGAACGGAAAATGCAGCCTAATTCTCTCAGGAACTCGTCGTAGGTGATGAGCAACAAAATTCCCGTTTTGTTTGTCCCAAGGACGCGCTCCTAATATTCCAAGTTTATTCTTGTAAAGTGGCCTGATTTTCCCCAATATTCCGCTTTGATTCGGTTCATTTTGGCATACCCGTCCAACACAAATGGCGTCCTCGATGCCTGGCACGCTCGAGTATCCCTTTGAAAGCCGGTCGGCTCAGTTGATGAGGCCCCGTCACTTGAAAGCACGGCCTATTCCGGCCTGCCGACTTCTTCACTCTGAGTCGAGATAAGCTTGAGGACGTGAGGGTAGGGGGTAGGAGCGACTCTCGGATGCTACGGAGGGCCCCTTCCTTCTCTTTGAAACCGTCATTGCGATCCTCTTTAGCATGAAACCCTAACCGGAGGTTGTGAAGGATCCCGAGATTACGGCGGACAAAGGGCGCCATTGAGAGTCGAGCAGCGGCCGGAGGATGTTGCGAAAAAAAGAAAAAGATAGGGCACGACGGACAGGGAGGCGATAGGCGATCTGGCGTAAATGCCTCTGCGACGCACCTCATTTTGTTTCATCAGATGATCATAATCTGAAAGTTGAGATGCTCAAATTCAGTTAATACACACCTCGCCGCACAAGTTAATGAAAAACCCTTTGTTGGCGCCGACTCGATCGAGAGATGCCGTAATGTATCTGTTGAGATGTTGCCCTAGCCTACACATGCCAACAATCTGCCATATTGCTCTGTTCTTTTCTTCCCCAAATCATCATTTAAGCCTGGCCAAAATTTGCCAAATGGTTTTCAGGTTGTTTTTATCTCCAGGTGGGAAAACAATAACATGTGCTATACGTGACAACAATCTCCCCTATTTGCATAGCCTTTTTTGTTTCTTTACAAAGCCAAACGTCAGCATTAATTTTGCCAAAACTTCCTTCAAGTCTGAAAGGGAAAAGATTCTGTTTCGAATGAACTATATCAAAGCTCAGAGACATTGTAGCGTCATCAATTTCTGCCAACTTTTGTCCGTGTCCTCTACCTGCCAACAATCTACTGTATTGCTATGGCCAAAGACTGCCAAGTCTTTATACCTACAGGGAGGGCGGCATGTCGGTCAAGGTGGCCAAACAACACAATGTACTGGCAATGTCCTACACTTGACAACAATCTCCCCCTACTAAAATGTACATGGAGACTTGTTCTTTATATATAAATTGGATTTGATTGGCATATTAGTCTTCTTTCTTGTCATATATTGAAAACCTTTTAAATATACTTTCTTGTCTACATGTGTTGCTCCATCCTCTGTTATTGAAATACCGGTTTCTTCTCAAACCACCTCTATCGATGTTAGCATGAATATTTTAACGGCATTTTCCATCTTATGTTAGCATGAAACTGGCGGGCTATTCCACTTTTTGGGTGGCAAGGAAAAACAAGCCAATGTGATACTTCACCGGATTGGAAGCGGCTCAAAAGGGAGCGGCTCCAACAATTAGCATGGGAGTCAACTCTGAAAAAGGGTTCAAACACCAGGAAAAACCAAATCAACGGAAAATTTGCTCCGCAGATGTTTTGCGCTTTTGTCCGCTCGCGGTGACACTGGAGCTGTCAAGACAAGCCAGCAAGGTCAAGGCTGGGCATAATAACAAACTCCACAAGTCTCTGGCTCTGCCACTCGGCACAACAAGGCCAGCAGCTGCTTCGCATCTTCTCCTCCAACCCCCTTCAGAAAAAAAACAAAACTTGCATATTTTCTCTGCGTGCTGGCATATTTCAACCGACACCGTAGCTTGTGCTAATCAAGACCAGAACTGAATCCAAGTTGGTGGGATTAATTGCATCCCGGGAGGGGAACAGATGTCTGACGTGCTGCTAATTAAAACGCACGAGAAATTTAGATGTGAAAATCATTCGTCTTCCTCTTGTTCCGTGTACGTGTGTGTGTGTGTGTATGTGTGTGTGGAGCAAACCACAGCAGTCGCTTGGATGGCGTAGCTAGTCATTTCCCACAGCCTTCTAATTGAATACTTGGCTCTATTGCGGAATGTCATCCTGGCTCTTCGCGGCTTACAGTTGCGCTCGGAATGGAAAAAGAGCGCAAAACGTCATCCTGCGAGGCACTCGACAGCCTCCGTTCCCGTTTCCCACATCTCCCTTTGTGACATGCTACGGTCAGGTCCATAAATTTTGAGACCTCACAATTCTCAATTTATTTTCGCCTCGAAACACGACCGCAATGGATTTGAAATGACACAGGCAAGATGTGCTTTAAACGCAGACTCTCAGCGTTAATTTGAGAGCATTTACGTCCCTGTCAGGTGGAGGCCAATGGATTCTGAAGTGTTTTGGGCTGTATGATGATCTGTTCCTATCCAGCCAATGCGTTCAAGACTTTTTGCAACTCAGTATTCAAAAGTCAAACGTTGATGTAGGATTGTTCATTTGTCCCATTACTTTTGCTGCTTTCAAAATGGGAGCACGTAAACAATGCTTTGTAACTGCAACACTGTTTACCTGATTTGGATGTAAATGCCTTCATGTTCAAGTCTGCGGTTAAAAGCACTCCATGTTCCTTTCATTTCAAATCCATTCCGATTTTGTCTACGGACAAAAAAAAAAAAAAGGACAATTGTGTCCATGTCTCAAGATTTATGGAACAGACTGTTTCTAAATCTTTTGTGGGTTGTGTTCAAAATCAATAAGGATCTGTGAAAAATGTTTGTACATAAACCTGTGAATAACCAAATCTCCCATTCGGACATAGGCGTCAAACTCCGGTCCTGGAGGGCCGCTGTCCTGCATGTTTTCCAAGTCTCCCTGTTGCAACACACCTGATTCAAATGATCAGATCATCACCAATCTCTGCAGAAGCCTGACGTTGAACCTCTTCATTTAAAATGAGGTGTGTTGCAACAGGGACGCTTGGAAAACATGCAGGACAGCGGCCCCCCAGGACCTGAATTTGACACCTATGCTGCATTAGGACAACAGGCCCTGAAATGTGTCCCAAATGGCTGCTTCGCTTCCTGACCTTTGGTCCTTGAGACTTTTTTTTTTTTGTGTGTGTGCTCCACTCGTGAGAGAACCGCATGGCAAATGTCACTTCTATCTGTGGAGTTCGTGTCGTCGGCAAGTTTTTTTTTTTTCTTCAAACGTTTCAGCGACCACTACGGAGTAAATTTGGATGTGTTGGATTGTCACCAGATTGCACTTGTGTACAAATCAGATTAGGATTCTTATCATTGACCTCGTGCTTTCGAAAATGTTTGAATGGCGTTTCAAGTATGTCAATGAGTTGAAACGGCATGCATTCCATTCCCCTCTTCTGAATGATCTTTCACATTGTTATCTTTCGTTTTTCTTCTTTCAGGATGTGACGATCTTACTTTTTCTCCGGGTAGGTGCTTGTTTTTTTTTTTTTTTTTTTTTTTTTTTTTTTTTTGGTGGTGGGGGGTGTAGGGGTGCTCGGTCGGCTAAATATGTGCTTGTCTGAAGAGAAGGTAAGGCAGTCGCTACTTTTAGTGGTGCGCGCGCACACACGCACGGACAAACATTTTTTTTCTTTTTTTTTTTTTCGGGGGGGTGGTGATGGTGTGCCTGTGCCTGGCAGCACACAAGCGAGCGCACAGCGGTGCTTGCACGACTTGCAGATGTTCCCGGAGCGAGTGGTAACTTTGTGAAAAGGTCCCGACAGGAAGCCAGACGCCGGGTTACAGGAAAAGGCGACGTTCTTGTTACTTCCCCGGTTGTTTGTTTGTTTGCTCGCAGCGGGCCCGGTTATCGGTCTGTGGCGCTCAGCACAGGCCGAGAGACTGCGCGCAGCTTGCGGACTCGGGCGCCGGGACGAGCCGCCGCGTCCTCGCCTTCGATCCGCTTTGACGACTTGACACGGTGAAAACAAAAGAAAGAAAGAAACGGGGAAAAAGTGGAGCATCCGAGCCTCCGTTATGGGGTGCGTGCACGTTCTCATGTGCTTTTCACTCAGTCAACTTTTGCTGGAGCTTTCTCTTGCTGCAGGGAAATTTGGTGAGTGGCTTTTCATTTCATGCAAATCGACGCTTTTCAGAATGTTTTGGACGATGTGCAATGTGTGGCAACTCTTTGCACATCAGGCCTTGGCAGCGGTTTGGTAGTCTGTAGAAGTTGCGTAAACAAATAAATGAGCGAGACGAGAGAGAAAGACGTTACAAGATATCCATGGAATCGAATGCTGGTGAAGGTAGTTTACGTTTTAGTCACCATGGCGCAGCTGGATGTGGCCTGCTAATCAAACAGCAAGCCTTGGCAGAGGTTAAGTGGCAAAAAACCCCCAAAAGAAATAGAACCCAATTTCCACCAAAGTGCCTTTTAGGTTATTTTTTGTTTTAGTCACGATGGCACCATTGAAAGTGGTCAGCTAATTAAAGAACACGCCTTGGTGGAGGTTGCAAAATGTCATTGCTTGACCTATTTCCAATAAATTAGAATTTGGTGCTGATCCAGACAATTATCCAGATTCATGGCTTTATTCTGCCATCAGAAGTTAGAGGCGTTTGGTTAGCTGGTAAACTAGTTATTTAGGTATACACAAAAACATTATGCATTTCCACAAAATCATATTTTGCTGCTGATTCAGAGATTTATTTTATGGAACCATTGAAATTTAGGTCGGTAGATCGGGCGGGAGAACCCCCCCAAAAAACCAAAGTGACCAATTTCCACAAAATCATACTACAGCGGCACCAAACCAGGGCTTAAGTTTAATGTGCTCTGGGGAGTCAGCACTAGTTTAGTTCACGAGTTAGTCAGTTAGCTCGTTAACTCAGGCAAGGGTGCAGATCCATGGGAAGTTACCAGAGGCTAGTTGCTTTGCTAGATCGCTAGGAATGTCCAGAAAATTTCATTTTGGTGCATTGTGGCCTGTTAACTCAAGAAACTGGCCTTGGCAAAGGTCAGTTACGTAGCTCGCAAACACAAAATAATCAATTTCCACCAAAATTTGCAGATCCGGAGAAAGGTGCAAATACACTGGAGCCGTCCTTTGCTGCTGGGGCACATGGTAAGTGGCTGTCAAGTCAATGCAAATCAATATTGGATGGATAGCACGTAACTGTAAAGTATTCACTTTCCGAATGGCTCTCAATACTTTTTGTGAACACCGCAGTTTTGCCTGTGAAATTATCGATTGTGTTAACCGACGTTGTGAACGTGCCTTCAGAAAAACTTTCCGGCAAGTTACGAGACTACGGCCTCATGGTGCCGTTCAGCACAGACGCCCATGGCCGCTTCAAGTCTCACGTGCTGTCCATGGATGAGGAAGGAAGGAGGAGGAGGACGAAGACCCGCAGGGTGGCCCGCGACGCCCCCGAGGCGCCCTCCTCAGGTTCCGAATTCTTATTCTTCAATGTCACCATCTTCGGCAAAGAGCTGCACCTGAGGCTGAGGGCCAACCGGAAGCTGGTGGCCCCCGGGGCCTCGCTGGAGTGGCAGGAGGACTTTGAGGCCGAGGCCGAGGAACACCTGCACGGCGACTGCGTGTTCACCGGCGACGTGAGTGACATGCCGCACGCCACCGTGGCCATCAGCAACTGCGACGGACTGGTAAGCCCCGTGTGATTTCCTTACAGGTAGCCTGCTAAACCAAACAACAGGCCTTGGGGGAGGTTAGTTAGTGAGGATATTGCAGAAATGACCATCCATTACTACCACAAGCAGTTTACGACGATTGATTAATAAAGATACAGGGACTTTATTTTTGTCGGGGTCGCTATAGCTACATTGCAAGTAGCCTGCTAACCATCGAACAAGCCTTGGAGGAGGTTAGTTCGCTTGGATTATGCAAAAGAGGGCAAACATTTCCACTAGATCTAAATAAAAGTAACAGTTATTGTTTGCGTCACGAGGAAGTAGCCTGCTAACCAAAGAGCCGTGGTGGGTGTCAAAAGAAAACAACAAAACCCACCAAGTTGTGTTTTTTTTGGTGAAGGTTCAGATACAGGGCTTTGTTTCTGTTAACTGCATAAGAAGTAGCTCGCCAATGAGAGCAAACGCCCCTTTCGAGTCATTGCTATTGTGACATTCGAATTAGCCTGCTAACTAAAGAACAAGCCTTGACGGAGGTTTATTCGAACCAAACGAGGGCCTGCATGTAAGTGTTTGTGTTTTAAAGCATGTCGACGTTAACCCAGTCAACGGGTGCAAACTTATGTTGCCGAAGTACAACGCTAAGTAGCACCCACGTTAATTAGCTCGCGACACATGGCGTTTAATTATGCACAGCGTTAATGACCGCTCACGCTAATTAGCTCCTCGATGACACCCAGATGGGCTTTGTACACTACAGTCGAAATTGCTTCACTGAAACAAATTCATTTATGGAATCGATTTAATTGTAGCTCAAGGTCTTCAATGACAACCTCTTGCAAGGTTTGGAAACTGCTTTCATGTTTTCGCAATTCAAAATTTGAACGGGAGTTGCGCTATGTGGCGTTGTCACAGATTACAGCCAATCAAAATGCGCATAAACGTTGTCACAAGCTAACACAGCCGGCCGTCATCCCCGCCGCCAAGCCACGCAAATACATTTCGAAATACAAATACCTGTCACCTCACACCGGTGACCTGCCGCTTACTTGTCAACTGCAATCTTAAAAACAAAACAAAACGAAAGGAGAAGAAAGCACAGATATTACAAATGGACCGAGGAAAACCTCATCAGAAAAATGAACACTCAAGTCAAGTACGCAGCCCGAACGTGTTTGTACTTGTTTACTTTGAGGGCTTGAGTCACACTTCCGTGTGGGTCCTCTCACATCCACGCCAACACAAAGACGGACGGACGTGTCTGTGCACGCAGGGCTTTTATTTATGCGGGATTCCCCCCCCCCCCCCCCCCCCCCCACAAACATGCGGTGTCATAAACCGGAGAGGGGGCACCCATCGTCCGGGCGCACCCCAGCCCAGTGGGGCCCGCCGGGGTTTTTTTTTTGGGGGGGGGCCCCCCCCCCCCCCCAAAAAAAGGATTGTGTCTGACTGATGTGTGGAAGGGCGCGTGATAAAAAGGGAGGAATGCGGGCCTCTTCACACCTGACACGCTCTTGTGTTGTTTTCAGTTCTTCCCTCCCGCTTTGATGAGCGAGGCCGATAGAAATGGAAATCGCCGGCAGATAACCAAGTACAAATGCTTACGGTCGATGTTGTCAGGTTTTAAGAAATGAAGAGATATGCATAGTCGAGAAAAATCTTTGTCACCGTTGTCCCCAGCCGGAATTGGACGCCAGAGGTGATAGACCGTCACGTCAGCATCCGTAATGATAAGTCACATTCGGGATGCGCTTCCCATTCATGTCGCTGCCGTTGCGATTGGTGACGTCGGCGCCACGCCGGCTGCAAGTAGCACGCACAGCTGCATGGCGACACGTCTGTTTGTGTGCGACCGCTTCAAAAGAGGAGCGAGCCTCCTAGCAACAGGTTGCCCCCCAAACGTCTGAGAATTCATCCTCCCGCTTTTGCCGGCAGTCACACCATCAATATTATACACGGCAAGACTTCAAATCTGATACAAGAAGGACTCAAGCACTAATCCCCAGCTGCCATGCAATCATTTCCAGGCCACGACTGGCTGATCGCAGGTCCTGCTCATGTCCGCGCATTTATTTATTTTTTCCCTCCTGGCGTATTGATCGTATTTGTCCTCATTCAAGGAAGGACAGCTTCAATGTCCAAAAGTTCCAAAAACTTAAACATTATCATTATCAACTAACAAATATAATAAATTTATCATTTATAAAATATAACTACGGTCTGTCCTGTAATATTCCATTTTTAGATGGGGTGGGGGGGCCTTTAAGGGGCGTGGTCGAGTGAGTAATGCCAGGAGCTGGCTGCTCTGCGTGAGCATCTGGGGCGTGAGTTGTGGCTAGCAGCAGCTCCTTGCAAGTGTTTGCATTTTGTATTTGTCTGTTTGCCCCGTTTAAGAAACGTCTCAAACAGCCTCTGGCTCTCCTTGCCCACATGCCAGGGCATAACGGGACCTGAATTGCTCACTTGAAGCGGGGCATATCTGAAAGTGGCTCGTAGCGTGCTTTTTTGTTGTTTTTTTCTTGTTTACTGGAGGTATTCGCCGCTTCTCCTGCAGTTTGCCTTGTGTTTTCTCTGAAATTAGGCCCTGTAAATGTCAGGCTTCAAAGTGGTTGCTAGCGCAGTGAGGAATTTAGGGCATCGGTGAGGCCAAGTGTGTGCGCGCTGCGTTTGCGTTTCAAGCAAGCCGTCAATGGCCTAACGTCAGTCCCCGGAGAGGGCTGCTATCCTTCCAAAAGATTCGGATGCTTTTCTCTGATTTTAATTTTTTTTTTTTTTTTTTTTTTTTTTGCAGTCGTCGATACAAATTGAACTCGGCGTACTTTTCAAGTCATCAAGTGTTTGGAGAACAATTTGGAATGTTTTTTTTGATCGCCGGCAATGGATTTCAGTAACCTCCTCATGACTGTTTTCTGTTTATTTCAACCGAAAGTGATGTTTTGATTTTTGGAAGAAGAAAAACTGTTACCATTGGGATGTTTGTTTCAAAACATTCAAATGATTCCCTAACAATTGATGACTTGGAAAATTACGATGAGTGCCTTTTGCGAAGATGAAAGTCAGAGAAAAGCGTCATCATTTGCAATGCGGTGGCGAGTAGCCCGTCAGTGTTGACGACGGTCCAAAAGTAGCGTTCGTTCATTCATTCATTCATTCATTCATCTGGTGGTGATTCTGCCCATGTGTCCATTCATGCGCTCAAATGGTCCCTGACAGCCCCGCAGACTTAACGTCCGTCTGGTTCTGTGTACACTCTGCTCCTCTCTCCAGATGTTGCCTCGCTTTCCACCCCCCTGATGAAATGCCGAGGAAGTCTTACTTGGCATTTCCTGCAGTCCACTTTTTGCCTCTGCGCCGCTGTCGGACGTTTTAGGATGAAAATATGTCTTTGGGGGGGGACCCATTGTTGTTCTCCCCCCGTCCCCCCTGCTTTTATGGGTGAAGGTTGCGTGCTGGGCAGTGAGAGCCTGTCAGCTGTGAGAAAATAGTCCAAGCTTTTCAATCTGTTGGTGAAACTTATTGTCTTTTGTAAAGCTCAATTTCAGCCTTTTCGAACAGCCCAAATATGGAAAAGGGGGCGTGGCTTCCTGCCAGGCCCAAACCGCACACGCCCACACACCCAAGATTGGGTTCAGGTGTGGGAGTGCAAAGCCGAAACCAGATTCTCCCAAGCGCAGCTGCTCCTCTGCACCCGGAGGCTTTTTTCAAACCAATTCATTGTCCCAAAACTTATTCTCCATAGATTGTCCGCTTGCTCGACAATCTATGATGAACCCCACCCTGTGTGGGAAGCCCCCGGCGTGCTCCGGTCGGGCATCGGCGGGTATGAACAATCGAGGGGAAAGCAGAATTCCCTCGAGTGCCGCTAATGATTCAAGCAGTGTCATGCGACACGGAGCCCATGAGCAAGCGGAGTCCAGCTGGAGACAGGAAATGAGCAGCTTTGTCTGGGTTCTGCGCCAAGATGACGAAATGAAGGTGTGGGCCGCTAATGGGACCCGATTGTCTGCGAGCGGACGGAACAGCAAGTATACCACAACGATTTGAGCCGTTTGCGTTCAATGCAACGGCATGTTTGCACCGTGGTTGAGAGAGGAAAGTCATTTCATCTGTGCTCTATGTTACACACGGAGCATATTTGACAATAAAAGCTGACTTGACGCCGCACAAGTCGACTGGAAAAACGTTTAGGGTATGTCGTTGAGTTCCATATGCAGTTTGGGTAACCGCAGTTTCTCTTCCCCCCCCCACCCCCCCAGTGGAAAAACTGTTTGCAATTGAAGTCGGTCAGAAGAAGAATCCCGCTGACAAACAAAAACACGACTTTTTTTGTTTTTGTTCTAACAATGAGACTGAGGACCGCAAGAAAATCGGCTGCTAAAGTTGCGTTCAAATTGTTTTCGTTGTTCACTTGCCGGAAGGCACTTGCGCAACCTTGCCTTAAGTGATGCAATTGCAGTCAAGGCAACAATGTGAAAAGATGATGGGGTCTCTCTCCCCCCCCGCCCCCCGCCTTGAGTGACTGCTGCAGTTATCAGAGGCATTTACCTTCACTTGAGGAGAAAATTCAATTCATTTTGCCATCATCGGAAAGTTCGCTCTTTCCGATGATGGCAAAATGAAAGCCCTCGCCATCATCTGCCATTCAGCACAAAGCACAGAAATGCCCAGCTCAAGTGAGATGGGTCATTCCAAAATTACACGTCTACCTGCGTCACTAGCCCTCAAAACCCCCTCGAATTGGCCTTCGCTCTAATTGCCACCCTTTCAAGTTGGGGGTAAGGTGGAGAGAGCGAACGCACTCATTTCAAAGCCTGTTTCTTATTTTTTTTTTTTCTGTCTTTCTTTACTTTCCAGGCAGGCCTGATTCGCACAGAGAGTGGCGAGTTCTTCATTGAACCCCTCGAGAAGGGCCGGCAGGACGTGGAGGTGAAGGGCCGCGTGCACGTGGTGTACCGCCACTCGGCCGTCAAGCGCGGCGACGAGGTCCACAATGAAGGTGAGGGCTGAAAAACAACAGATAAAAGACCATCGAGGTGGTGTGGGGGGTGGGGGGGGCGTGTCTTTAGTGCAGACCTTCATGACTGACAGTCGCAGGGGTTGTCGGAAAGTACAATGATCACATGACGGCAGGGAAGGACAAAAAGAATGGCCAATATAATACACGCAAAGGATGGACACTATTTTTTTTTTTGGGGGGGGGCACACAAAAATCAGTTTCAATCATCAATAGGGAAGGAAGAGCTGTGGAAATTCTGCACCGATTCTGACAAGGAGTTAGGCGAACTGAATTTATTTTTTTTTGTGCCCCGAGCTAACGAAATTGGATTTGGTTGGTTATCATTTACAGGCTTTTGGCTTTGATCTAGCTAGATAAACCCTGAAAGTAAAAGACGAATACCCGGGAACAAATTCCACGGGGTAGAGGCCGCAAATAAAGGAAGACAGACGGCCTGATCCTTTGAGCCGCCTCGACTGGCTTTTTTGTGGGTTCTGGTTTTGACATGGAAAGGTAAGCCCTTGACAGTCTGATGGCCATCCGTGAAAAATGACCCGCGGTGAAGTAAAAACAAGGAAGACGCGCGCTCCCACAGTCCTCGTTTGTAGGTTATCCTTCCAAGAAATGCACGGGAGGAGCAAAGGCAACGACCGCAGACTGTACACGCTGATTCTTCACCTTTTTACCTTTTTTTTTAAGGCCCCGACAATCGATGTCACAAAAACGGTAACTTGCTCACAAAGCAATAATTCCTGGCACTGTGATGCTTTTTTTTTTTTTTTCACAGCCTTGCAAGGAAAAATTACGGGGGAGTCAAATTGCTGCAATCAACGATTCAATTTGGGTGGACGGCAAAGCAGTTGCATGCCGTCAATTTCGTTGTCGACTTTTGACGCGTTCCGCATTGATGCTCCGACTTGGCGATTTATGAAATATTCCGCTGACTTAAACTCTCTCTTGTGGCCTCCCGTCTTTCCGCGGCAGTGTCCGACTACGGCATCGCCGACCTCCCGGCCGCCGTGGACCTGCTCCGGCGCCAAGTGTCCGAGCCGGAACGCAAGCGGCGCCACGCCAAGAAGGACGACTACAACATGGAGGTCCTCCTCGCCGTGGACGACTCGGTGGTGCGATTCCACGGCAAAGAGCACGTCCAGAACTACGTGTTGACCCTCATGAACATCGTAAGTCGCTCGGGGGGGGGGGGGGGTG